GAACAAATTCAAAGCACATTGGTTTATTAACCCTCGCTTCCTGCATGGTTCATTAGGTTCAAATTATACCCGATTCACAATTTCAACTATATTTACTTTTGAAATATGTGACTTTTCCCATTTTAAAAGTCAAGCTAGACACTTTATTTGTGGACATTGTTTGATCTACTTAGTGTTGATAAACACATCCTGTCAAGTGTTATGGATATAGAATTTCTACCCCCCTCCAACAGGGTGAGTGGAATAAGTTGATTTGCTCTAATGGGTAATGTTTAGACTTCTGTAAAATAAGTGTCTGGCACTTGCTATGATTTTTGTTTGATAGGTCCCCAAATCAGAATGTTACATCTGTAATCAACAACCCTTTTAACCTTTCTTGTTCTGAAGAAACCAAAGGGCACTGGTTAGTATGGTGAGATGGGGAGAGTCTTCAATTTTTGAAATTTGGAATGCAGACAGCTTTACTTTATAAGGTTGGAACAGCAGCACCATCCATAAAACATAAGCCAAAAATCTTTAACTGTTAATGATTTCCTATATTGTTACTATTTGGTCTTAAATTGATAGATGAATATTTGTTCCAGAGAAGGTGATAAATATCTTTTCTCTCTTCCTTTATTAGAAAATTAGGTAATTAATGGATTCCTTGAACAGGAGCATCACCACTTACTAAACACATGGATAGAATGATCAATAAACAGGTTTTGTAGGATTTTTTTTTTTTATTCTGCCACATTTATTGATTAAACAGGGAAGGAATTTTATTTAAAGTTTTAACTTCTGTCACTTGTCAGTTATTTTCTACCTCTGGTAAGGTCCAGTTTTTAAAATATTGGAGATTTTAAATTTAACATGTCTGCTATGTAGTTGATTGGTTTTCACTTATACTTCTGAAAAAAAGATTGTACAATACAAAAGTTATTCGTTTGGATTGGATGTATCAATCTACCTACTAGTCTTGACATCTTAGTAAGAGGTAATTGTTTTTTAGTGATGGATAAACTTGTGCTGGTGTTTTGGATCTTATGATGCTGAGCATGTTCTGCACTGGTGCTAATGTCTAATATAATTTTATATTTACAAAAAGGCCTGCTACCCAGAGGCAAGTATTAATTTAGTCCATATGGATTATTGACTCCTTTTGAAATTGTAACATACACACTCTTAAATCAGTGTGTTTAGACTTTAAGGATTCAACTCTTCTGAACATGTTTATAAATCTCTTGATTTCCAGCAACATATTATAGAAAACACCTGTTATTCAAAAACACTTCAAGTTCCATTTGCTGTCAGCCATTGTCACTAGAAAACACACAGCAATATCTGGTATGTTGCAAGCTTTCAAGATAGCCTAAACTTGAAAAAGTTGATCCATTAGTTGTGTCTGATGGATGTGAATTTGCCTCCTAGTTCACTTTGTGTCAATAGCTAAAACTGTGAACCTAACTTTCTCTTATTCGTGGGTAATAACTGAAAATAAAGATTTATTTTCATGCTCACTTCTTAAAAAGTTATAAAAGCAACCAAATAGGAGCCCTCATTGTCATGTGTTTCCCAGTTTCTGACCTCTTCATACCCTCAAGATGTAATGCTCATTTAAGTTTTAAAAGTATTACATTTAGGTATTATGTGCGGTTTTTATTTGATAAACTTATTTGAGAGAGATCCCCAACAGTGACAAAATTGGGAAAGTTTAAGTTCAGGTAAAATGAATTTCAAGGGTTTATGTGACAATTTTCATTTCTCTTAGAAAATCAGGTTTCCACTGAATATCATAATGCTAGTTTTCAATGGCTAACTGGGTATAGGTTCCTTAAATAGTGTGACTGATGTTTTGGTGAATTTTTATCTTGATGCTTTTAAATGAAAATAATATCGAGAACTGAAGCTTTTAAAGACATTTACAAGTGTACTGAAATGACTGGGGGTATGGTTTACTAGTTGAATACTATTTTAAGACTTGAGTTATTTAAGCTCTTAAAATGTGTCACAAGACAGTGTACATTTAGTACCTTTATTCAGTTTTATTTTTTAAAAATGGAAGTAAGACATCATTTCCAGGGTTGTAAATATATTTGGGGCTTATTTTTGGTATGGGTTTGGAGGGAGAATATTAAGTATTCATTGTTATTTTTCTAATTGCTAGAGATTGCACTGAAATAGAAAAGTATTAATAGGTAGTTGCATACAAAGTCTAAATCCTGTGTATTGAATTTTAAAAATGACTTTTTAAGAGCACTAGCTGGTGGAAGAAACCAACAGGTATTAAAGTTAAAAAGGAGAAATGTGAAGTCGATAGATCCTGACGTTGACTGAAAGGTAAGATTATGCAGGTACCTTAAAAGGACATCTGTCCCAACCTTCAGCTGATATACAGTTCTGCTTTCTAGAGAAAGTGCTTAGAAAATATATTCTAATTTGAACATTTGTAGTAATAATGAGATTGATGTACAAGTGATTGTTAAACCCTACTGAATGCCATATCCAAGTTTACTGAGAGCCCAGAAACTTGATTATTATCTTTTTGGCAAGCCTGTGCCTAGTAGCAAAGGCAGTAAAATAGTACCTGATTAAACTTTTCCAGTCTAGTAATAATCTATCAACATAATTTGCAAGACAAATTTATTAGGGCTTTGTCATTTGTTTTTCAATGTTGGGGATTGAACCCAGAGCTGCACACATGCCAAACACTAGTACTGAGCTACATCCCCAGTCTGTCAGAGATAATGGCAGCTGTAAGAAATTTGGGTGGTTACTTTTTGCTTAGCTGTGTGGGTTGGGAGGTACCATTTACCTTGGGCATGATTCTTTGAACCTGAGACCCTAATTGGTTTTGAAGTTTGAGGATTAATAAGTCAGGTGGAGGAATTAAATCCAAGAATATAGTGAAACAAGGTTATAACCTGTGCATAAGAAGCTTTAAGTGCTATATCTAAATCTATCAGCAAACTTTAGCCTGTGGTCTGTTTTTTACATTCCTGAGTTTTTGTTTTTCTTTTTTTGTGGTGCTGGCACTTGAACCCAGGGCCTTAGAAATACTAGGCTGCACTCTTATCACTGCATTCCTGAGCTAAGAATGGTTTTTAATAGTATTGAATGGTTAAAAGCAAAAAAAAAAAAAAAAAAGCACAAAAATGTTGGTAGTCCACAAAGCCTTTGTGTAGCCTTTTCCATAAAGTGTGTGCTGTATTCTTACTCAAGTTGTTTCTTCCAAGTCAGCATCTAAGAGCTCTTTGAAAATAAAACAGTTCAAGGTACAAGCTAGATCCTACCTCACAGGAAGTTATGAAATAAATTCATACTTTGATGCTATAATCAGGAAAGGGATGAGTTAACCTGATAGCTTTTTAAGGCCGATTTTGTTTCTTCAAATAAAAATTGTCTAGCAACTTAAATGTATGGATCTGCTATAAAAGTTATCACAATACCATGAGGTTTGACAGTAGTGCTCATATCAATGCTCAGGTGTCGCTAATCAGTTTTTCTATAAGAATTATGCATATCTTACATAGGCAAAAAACAAAAATAACCTGTCACCAAATTAAATGATTTCTCATAACAGTTTTTCTGCCTGACATGGTGGCATACCTGCCTATATTCCTAGTCACTTGGGAGGCTAAGGCAAAAGGATTGCAAGTTAAAAGGTCAGCCTGGCAACTTGGGAAGACTCAAAAAGTAAAAAGGACTGGGGATGTAGGTCAATAGTTGAGCATCCCTGGATGTCATCCTCTCAATAAAACGAGGCGAAATTTTTATAGCGTTTGTGATACGTACTAAGTAACTGAGAGTCCACTTTTAAATAGAAGGAAAAGGTGAGAAGTGACAGCTGAAAGTTGGTAATTTGCAGTTTTCTTAAGTTATTAGGTTTCAAGTCAGTAACATCTCTTTTGCTGCCCATGTGGGAGGGTATGGCAGTTCCTATTGCATTTGCATAGATAATTCGTAGGTTTTGTATGTGGAAGACAAGCTGTAGATGATTGGTTCATACCATGTGAACCAGGTCTGAGACAACTACTGTGAATTGACCTTGTGGCCTTTATTACCTGTTACTGGTGTGGAAATGTTGAGTAAAGGGCTGATATTCAGGATTCTGATGTTAGAAGAAAACGGGAAGTTGCTTTGGACAATTCTATGGTTTTATACTGTATCACTTCAATTGTGGTACCTGATTCTTGCCATTTGCCTGAAATCAGATTGGGACTAAATATTCTATTAGCTAATGAGTAATGTCAGAAAATTTTTGTTTTATTTTGGGAACTCTGCATATTGAATTCATTTTACACCTGGGTTGTAATCACACATGTTGATCAGCCATGTGATAATACTTAGACAAGTGCATGTTAAATGTTTATCCGAATATTAACATTGCTGGATTATTTTAGAAATCACAAAATTCATCCAAGAAGATGAATGTTTTTATTTTCCCCCATTACATGGCCAAAAGTGTTTGGGCTTTCATGATTCACATATAACAACTGTTAGGAGGTAGATAATTGTCCATTTCCCCTGGGAATTCGGAATTTCTAATTAAATTTACAAGGACTTTTTTTTTTTCTTTTGTGGTAAAACAACTTCCTTTAAAACTAAACAATTTGGCTTCAACTTGATTTTGTGTTCCATTTTGTAGTATATGCATTGATGAAGGCACTACTTAGGTACTAAGGCTAGATTAGGATCTTCTGAACAATGTACAGGCCTGGATTCGATAAAACCATTTTTTAAGTTAGATGTTTACTGACTACTAGCCATGGGGGAAAAATCATAATCCTACCTAACAAGTATATTATATGCTTCACATCACTGTATTTTGTTCATTACAGTATACTGTATCTTGAAGATTAAGTGGCACTTGGTCACTATATGTCAAAATCCACATTATTTTTTTATAGCAGTTGTACTGATCCCTTGCATCTTGAGTCTTGCTAGAGCTGGAAGTCCTGTTGAAGGAAGAAGTACTTTTGATGCTGTGTAGCTAATTGAAAAATACAACATCTGAGAAGTTCTCTTCAAGAAAAAACGTTTATTAAGGGAAAATTGCCAATAACCTGTTGATTGAAGAACATAATTAGTATGTCCCTTATAGGGCATTGGGGATGTTTCCTTTTTCAGGTTTATCAATCTAGGGTTGTTAAACTTTAAAAGTAACCTCAGATTTTTAGAGAAAACTTTGAAATGAAGACTCCCTCTAGCTGGAGGAATGACTTACTAAACATCCTTGCTAATTATTTTTCCTCTATTACAAGCAAGTAAAAAGTGGATATAATATTTTAAAAAGCTGTGCACAGCTTCTTGTAAGTTACCCTGCCATAGATCACAGAGGGTGGGAGTTGGCTCTGTTTACAAGGATTGGACAGAATCTGATCAAATTGAATTATAGTATGGGGTTGAGAATAACTTAGGAAACAAGTGTTTTCCACAGTGTTGTGAAAAGAAGGCAGATGGTCTTTTGCTCCCTTTTGTGATGGAATAAATAAAGTAAGATTTCTGTTTCTAAATGAAATTTTGGGAATTCCTATTTTTACCTTGAGAGATGGGAGGTGGGAAAGGGAGTCTCCTTGATTGATCCTCAGTTTGGGCCACAAGAAAATATCTTTAGGTTATGAAGTTCACTTCTTGGTGCTAATGTGCAGGGAGGTACAGTATATACTAACTTGGTAAAGTGATGATTACATTAGATAACAAGTGAGTTGGGATTTTAATAAGTGAGTTTTGATAATTTTCTTCCAATTATGCAAATGTTAGGATTGTGGATGTTTTAAGCTTTTCCAGTGAAATTTCTGGGTCCTTGAGAAAGTTTATTCTTGGAGGATCTTGTAATTCCCTTTATAATGTTTCCTTGGTTCCTATTACCTAATAGGTGGCAAAATGCCTAGCATTAGAAAGTGAAGGTATTTTGAATCTCACCTGACAAGCATATAGAGTTCCTTGAAGTTGGGAAAGTTGAGAAGTGGCCTGAAGCCAGCACAGTGGTACACACCTGTAAATCCCAGCCATTCTGGGGTTGAGGCAGGAGGTTGATAAATTCAAGGTCAGCCTCTGTAACAGCAAGACCCCATCTCAAAAAAAGGTATAAAAATGGGCTAGGGATGTAGCTGAGTGGTAGAGTAGTGCCCCTGGCTTTAATCCCAAGTGCAAAAATTGACCTGAATTGACTCAAAAGGACTGGCAGCTCATAATAGATTTTTTAGAGATTTGATTGAAGTCTGAGAAGAACCTACTTTAGAACATTTTGACATTTGTAAATAAAAAGTGACTACTAGCAAAGTATGGAGCCAATTAGCATAAAAGAAAGATGTTTATTTGCATTTCAACAATTCCCAAGCCACAAAATTGAGTCAAATGTAGTCTTGATTCTTTTTTTTTTTAAACTAAATAAATGGTTTAATGGTTGGGTGTGGTAAACACCCCCCCCCCAAGCCTCTGATCCCAGCTACTCCAGAAGTTGAGGAAGGATCACAAGTTCCAGGCCAGCCTGGGTGATTTAGGTTGAATCCCTTTCTCAAAAATTTAAAAAAAGGAGGGTTGGGGATATAGCTCAGTGGTAGAGCACTTGCATGCATGCAGGATGTCCTGGGTTAGATCTCCAGCACTGCCCCTCCACCAAAAAGAAAGTATCTTTGAAAATAATGCCATATTACAGTTTAATTAGCATTTTTGTTTTACATAGACTTTAAAGTAACGGAGTGTCAAAACTAGTGGAATCTGATTCTTACCAAAGGGTGATTGAGGCTCACACCTATTTTCATCAATGCTATTGAGGAATCCTGCATTCACATTAGGATATTTATACTGTTCTCTAGGCTACGTTGATAGGAATAAAGTTACATATTCTATTTCAATTTTTTTTTAATGGTTTTAAAGATTGAGCCCAGGGTCTTCTTGCACATGTCAGGCAAGTGTTTGCCACCAAGCTCTATCTCTAGTCCTTTTCAATTTTATTTTGATATAGGATCTCCCTAAATTGCTTAGGCTGGCCTTTCTCAGCTCCAGAGTAGCTGGGATTACAAACGTGCATCACCATGCCCAGCTGTTTGTTCAAATTGTATTGAATATTGCCCAGCTGCCCTCCAGAAAACTGCTAACACACCAGTTTCTCTGATTAATACCTGGCTAATTTTTAAAGTAATCTTTGCTAATCTGATAAGTGTGAAATATCATTTAATAATATTTAATTTGCATTTCTTTGATTCAGGGTGACTTTTTCATGTTTATTGGGTATTAATATGTACTTTATGGTTTGCCTACTCATAGTCCAGTTTTTCTTTAAAGTGTTAGCATTTCTCTTAATCCATATGAGTGCTTTATTAATAAGGAAGCTCTTTTGGCAAACATTGTGTTTCATAAGGTTTTAATTTTAATCTATTGGAAACATTCTGGTAAAAGTCGTAAAGATCCATCAGTTGGTCAGTTGGTAAAATTGCTTATCTTTTTTTTAGAAGAGAAGAACTTTCTGTTTGAGAGTGTGTTTGATTCATAAAGGTTCACCCATTAGCCTTTAATAATAAAGATGTTTAATTTAAACATCCATGAGTTCTGTAGGCTAGAAAGAGGGAAATAAGCCTTTGTAGTGGTACTGGGACAGGAAACAACTGTATCAGGTGACTTAAAAGAATAGAACCTTGTGAGAAGAAATGAGTTGAACAAATGAATTGATTATAAGAAGCTCCCTCAGCTCCAGTGTTAGTCATTGGGAGTGGGTAAAGCTTTCGCTCAGGCTTGTTGGGGATTTAATAAAAAGGTTCATGGACTTTTCTGCTGTACTTTCGGAAAAGGTTCAAAGTGCAACACTTGGGGTTGAGGTCTTAGTCCCAGAGATAGCCCTGGTCCTGAAGGCAGTACTTGCTGCAGCAAAAAGAAGAGGAAACTAGGGGTCAAAGCCCTTTACAAGAGATCCAGAGGCTGGCTTACCTAAGGTCCCATGGTGGGTTTAAGTAGCTCTACACCATTCTGCCTTGATTTCACTGAAAAGGCACAGGTAAAATGAAACAAGCAGAACTAGGAAAAGTAGGAATAATTGATAGTTGTGAACATTTTGGAGGCCCTTTTATATTGGTGTTTACCGGTATTTTTTGTGTCAGCATCTATAAAACTATGTTGACTTGTTTTGAAGGCTCCTTAAAATACTCATTAGTGTATTCACCATCTAGAGTTGTACTATCCAATGCAGTAGCCACTAGCCACATATAGTAGTTTGATTATAATCAAAATTCAGTTCTTGGGCTGGGGATATAGCTTAGTTGGTAGAGTGCTTGCCTTGCATGCACAAAGTCCTGGGTTCAATCCTCAGCACCCCCTCCCCCCCAAAAAATCAATTCTTGAGTCACACTAGACACTTCAGGTGGTTAACAGTCAACGTAGCTAGTGTATACTGTATTGGACAGTGTTGGCAAAAAAAAATTTCCAACTGATATAGAGGATAAAGCCTGGTGGTGTTTTATAAATAGTAGGTGCTTGAATGATCCTTTGGACTCAAATTACTACTGAGAGTTTGGTTTCTACTCCTTTCCCCCTTTTCCCTTTCTTATTAGCATAGCCAAGACAGTTGTCAGGAACTCAGGTCTGGAATTCTAGGTCCACATGTAACCTTTAGGCTTTGAAGAAAGCTGGCAGGACCACCCTCTAGCTGCAGCCAGAACTGATGCTACCAAGGATTATGACAACTGGAGTAAGGGCTGGGTAAATGGGGCATGCTATGCTGATTGAGGACACAGACTTTTCAGGCTTGGAGCCTGACCATTTAGAGAATGAGGGAGTCACACCCCATCTTTAACTGATCTAGAGTCAGCTTTTCACCACAGGAGAAGTTGAGTGGGTGAAGGGAACTTGACATGAAAACAGAAAGTGAGATGTGCTGAGGCTCCAGTTCTTCCAATTGGTCAGCGAGAGGAACCTCATGTGAAGGGAGATCATCAATGTTGGAGGGTAAGTAGCCCTCATGGCTGGGAAGGTAGTCCCCTGGGAGAACTGTCAAAGGGCTGGTTATTTTTCCTGCCTTTGAGCCAGTGTCCTTGCTCTCCAGCACCTTATACAGATCCACTAGCTGTCTTGTCTCAGCTTTGAGAGCTCTGGAAGATAAAGGGCTGGAGGCACTGTACACTGTGTCTTCCTTAGACGTAAAGTAACCTTGGACTCCTTGTCCCCTTACTGGCCACTTGAGGCAATGGGGATGTCTGAAGACTGGAGTCATTTGATGGAGAACTTCATTGATGACCAGCGGCTCAGGCTCTTCAGGAGTGGACCAGGATATCTGGAGCTTGTCCAAGGGCAGCTGTGTCTTCTCCTGGGAGAAGGAATGAAGAAGCAGCTCTTATTTCTATATAGGGTTTTCAGAGGCCTCACAACCTGGACTACCTCAGCCCCAAGTGGAACACTGTAGACCCTTAATTTTCAGAGGTAAGGAAAGCAAAGCAGTTAACATCGGTCAGGTAGGCAGGAGCCAGAGACTTCTCCCTCAACCCCCAGTAGGTGAGTCACTACCTGGATCAGCCTTCAGCCTGGCTGTTTCTTCTAATGGGAATGAGCTATCCTACCTGTTTTCCTCCAGGGCCAGTGAGTACAAAGGAAAGGTTGAGCCTATTTTCTGTCAAGGGGTGGTGACTGAAGTGATGCTAGAGCTGAGTTCTGAGAGATGTGGAGTATGTCCCAAGGATGAAGTGGTAGGCAAAGAGGACTGACATATTCTGGAACCTGCTAGTTATTTCTTCTTATTGGAAAACTGAGGCTTTGGAAATAGGAGAGGGTCACATCGTAGAGGGCCTTGTAAGGGATGCTTAAAGGGTTTGGTCTTTGATGGAACTACTGAAAGCAGTTAACATTGGTCAGGCAAGATAATATCCTTGTCAGATTTGCTTTCAAGAAAGACCACTTGAATAGCTTTTCTGGAAGTTTTCTGTTCTTTTTTCCTTTAGCTAATTTTGTTTGTAACAGATAAAAATTAGCAAACAATTTTCATAAGTAATAATGAATTTCTCTTTCTCAGTATCCTGTTGGTTACTAGCTCTTCAGTGTCATATCTCTTTCCTTTCTGAACTCTGCCCATTCCTGAATCCAAGTCCTAGGCACTTCACAAATATTTCTTTTGCCAGGCTTTATTTGGACTATCTTTACATCCTAAAAAGTATCCTACACATGAACTGCCTGATTTTTCTAAAGCAGAGTTCCAATTATTGACATATACACACTTATTTACATATACACACTTCAGCCTGACCATGAGTTCCTGCTTCTTCCTCTACTTCTCCCTGTTTCCCTTCTCAGGTTGCTCTTTCAGCCATGGTCCAGACTTACTTAAGACATTTTTGTAGTGCTACCAAGACAATTCACCCTGTTAATATTTGCTCCACTGTGCTTTCTTGGCCCTTTCCCTTTCCATGAAACCCTTTTTGGCCATTCCTTATATAGGATTCCTACGTGAGTGAGAAAACCACAAGTTAGTTTCTTGACACATGATGCTTTGTACTACCACTTTTTTCTTCCTCCTTTTACATGTCTGCAAGCCATTTGCTCATAGAGACCATGTATTAAAGGAGGAGTAGAATGACAAAAAATAAAAATAGCCTTGGGACAGGGCAAACCCTGAGGACTAGTCCCAACTCCAACAACTAGCCTGGATAAACTTGATCAACCTGTCTGGGTCTCAGTTTTCTCATTTGTCAAATGACAAATTGTGCAAGAGAATACAATTTATCTATTGGCCTCTGATGTTGCCACCTTTGCCTTGTGCATGGCAAAGATCAAGAAAGTGAGTGATGGGGCTGTTAGGTTTCCACGAAGGTCCCTCACAAGAGCTAGAAGGGGCATGTGTGTGCTTCTCTTAGAAGTTTCCTCTTCTCTGCTCACTACCCAAACTGGCCTTCGAATGTTGATCTGGCTTGGAACATGGCTGGCAGCTGTGGGAAGCAGAGCTGCCAAAGTGCTGCTACTACAGATGTGGGAGAGATTAGGCAGGGTGTGGAAAGGGCTGGTTATTTTCACAAGGTGAGGTGTTCACTTTGCCTCCATTAAATCCTTGGCAATACTCAGAGAAGTTGCTCCTCAGAGCTTTCACAGAGTAGGCCCTTGGGCCAAGCCCTGGAAGGGAAGGCCTCTTTAAGCCTTCATTGGTTCAGAAACCTCATGGACACTATTTTAAGCTTTTACAAGCTGGATACTATCCCAGTGATCCCTTTTATGATTTGGCCTTTTTCTTCAGAGCTTTAAGGCACATGATTTTTTTTCACTCACATAAGAACTGGTAGGGGGATGTGAGGCCGGAGAGCTCAGAGCACATTTTGTGGAAGTGAAAAACACTCCCTTGTATTTCTGCAGTCTGCCTTCAGCAGGCACCAGGAGGGCAATATGACTCCTTAAAAATAGTCTACCGACTTCAAGGGTCAAGCCATATGCCATTCTGAGACTGCTTCAAGGTTTTCCTCTTGGATGCCATGTTTAAGCTACCTAAAGTTTTAAAAGTTTCTAATTTCATTTTTTTTTTTTTGGCAGGGGGTACTGGGGATTGAACTCAGGGGCACTCAACCACTGAGCCACATCTCCAGCCCTATTTTGTATTCTACTTAAAAATGGGGTCTCACTAAATTGCTAAGTGCCTTACCATGCTAAGGCTGGTTTTGAACTCACAATTTTCCTGTCTCAGCCTCCCCAGCCACTGGAATTATAGGCATGCACCACTGTGCCCAGCTTCACTGGTTATTTTTGCAAATAAGTATATGAGCATAGTTTTCTAAAACTTTTTTTTTTAGGTTCAAAAGGAATATTTAATGAAAATAAAATGGCCCTCATACTTCCAACATTCTCCCCCAGATACAACTGCCATTATTGGTTTCCTATATATCATATGTAGGCTTCCAGAAATATCCTGTATACCTATTGCAGGCATATAGGTATGTGTACAAATTTCCTTCCTTTCATACAGATTAGAACTCACTTTAGACCACTGTTTTTGCTTTCAAGGATGTCAAAGAATTTTAGACACACATATCCGGTTTTTTTGCTTTTACTTATAATGCTGCAATGAGTGGACTTATGCTACACAACTTTGGGCATTTGTATCCTTTCTTTACCTTCTTCCTACTTTACTTTCTCTAACACTGTACACATTTTTCTTAGCATTTGTTATAAGCTTATGACTCTGTATCCCCTATATTACCTGTGCATAGGCAGGCAGAGGTCCTGATGCTAAAGCTACAGTTTGAAGGCAGTTGTCTGCAACTGACCCAGAGCTACTTCCCCTGTGCTGTTTTAGGCTTTTAACACCTTAAAATCTCAGCATTGGAAGAGAATTTCAGCTTCATCTGTTTCAACTCCTGACACTTGAATCCCTCTAATACCAGCAGGGACATCCTTCTAAGGCCTCATGGCTATAGAGTGTTTCCATGGATCATTGCAAGATTACCACCAAGTGAGGGCTAGTCTGCTCAGCTCAGAGGTTTGGACCAATAGAAACACTTCCCTCACCCTATGCTTAAAGCTCTGTTGGGATGTACAGTGTGATGGTGGACAGGACATATTGCTTGTATGTGAATCTAGTATCATCCTCTATTAGCTAACTAATGTTGCACTAGTTACTTGATTCTTTCTCTGTGCCTCATTTTCCTCATCTGAAAAATGAGGATAATAATAGCACAACCTCTTATTGTTTATTTATTTTTTAATAGTACTGGGGATTGAACCTTGGGGTTCTGTACCACTGAGCTACATCCCCAATTTATTTTATTTATTTTATTTTGGGACAGGTCTCACTAAGTTGCTGAGGCTGATCTCAAACTTGATATTTTCCTTCCTTAGTCTCCCAAGTAGAGATTACAGTCATGGGCTACTGAGCCCAGTTTAGCACAACTTCTTAAAACTCTATGTGGATTAAATGTTAATGTATGCAATGTTTTAAAAGTGCCTGTCTTGGGAGGCTTAGGCAGGAGGATAACAAATTCAAAACCAGCCACAGCAACTTAGTGAGACTATAAGCAACTTAGATGATAATAATAATAATAATTTTAAAAGTGCCTGGCACATAGAAAGTAATATATAAATATACATTATATAAATACATATAAGTAAATTCTATATACAATATGCTTACTTATTATGTAGTATACTATATGTAGTATACAGTATTCATATTTATATACTATATATAATGTATTCTATATTAGAAATACACATTGGATGTTATAGAAATTCATATATATGATATAGAAATACATATGAAATATGTTTATTGCTATTATATATTGTTATAGTAGAATAAATATATGTGCTATATAGTATACATTTTTAAAATATATAGTATAAATAAATGATATTATATATACTATACTATATATAAATATACTGAATATATAACATAGTATAATTATATATGGTACATTATATATATTTATAAATATTTGTATACATATTTCTGTCATTATCACTGTTGTGACTTAATAGGGACAAATCCTTTGATAGAGAGGAGTCATAAAATATGCGTTTTCCCAGGAGGAGAGTAAATGATCTTTGCTTTGTATGACCTTTGTGCTTCACATTATTTAGTCCTCTCAGCAGTATACAAAGGAGGTATTGTTCATTCCTATTGTACAGAGGATGAAGCTAGGCTGGGATAGTAGAGTAAGTTGTTCAAGAGTCTCACACATTGTAGTGGCAGAAGCTGACCTCTGGCCAGATTCCAAAGGCACTAAACTGCAGTGACTTGAATTCCTAAAGCAGAGATAGCTGGGATCAGCTCCTTCCCAAAGCAGAGTCTGGTAGTAATGGGCTTCTGGCTGAGGAAGGGTATGGATGACAGAAGGCGGCACTGGGTGATTAAAGAAAAGAATCTTGGAGAAGATGGGCTTAAGTAAAGAGTGAGAAAGGGAGTCTGAGATTGTCAATACCCTGGGCAATGGGAAGGATATTGGCACGTTCCTTCCCTCACCTATTGCTCCTCTTAAATGCACAGTCTTGCTCCATAATACAGATGCCTTCTATTTCCAGGCCTTCCATTAACAATGGCCCATCCTGCCCTGTGAGCTGTTCTCACCTCCTTTTACTGAGCAACAGTGGCAGCTCCCTTCACTGCCCTTGGCCCTCTCGCCTGCCAGCTGAGCAACCTCTCCTTTAAAACCATTTCTTTGCACAATGGAATAGCTTACTGGCTTCCTGCCAAAACCAAAATAGTATTGCTTTTATTTATCTGTTCTATGTTCAGTCAGGATTGGGAAAGTCAAAAGCTTCAATTATCTTGAATTTGGATGAGTCAGTGCTCAGACTAGTATTCAGTAAATGGAAAAAAAATATTTCTTATTTCTTTTGAAATAAGATGAGTTGAGGAAGGGAATGTAAGACCTATAGAGGAATAGAACACTATGGTTCTTTTAGTGTTTTGTTGCATAGGTTGCTCTTCAGTTCAGGAAGAAAACAGACATAACAGTGGTAACTCAGCTTGAATGACATCGGCTTACCCATAGGATCTCAGGGTTCCCTGTAACTACAATAGGAACCTTAGATGTGGTCATCACTAGCAACCCATTGACTGACTTCTGAGACTTTATGCCTTACCTCCATGATGGGATATTTCTTGGCCCAAGTGCTGTTTGCTGGGTCTGGAATGTCTCTGCTACACCATTGAGGTCTGAGTAATGAAAGGAGAACAAATGCCCTATAGATGAGAAAACAATGACATTTGGTTAAGCACATACAATGGCAAGGAAACACAGGTTTCCAGTGTAGTGATTTTGGTGTGGGGGTTGCTTTAGTATACAAAGAGTAAAATATAAACCCTCAAGGACAAAGATAATGGAGTAGTTTCCTGTGAAATTCAGATCGATGATAAAGAGTCACCATACAGCCACTTAGGGGTTGCTAAATCAACTATGAAATTTTTCCTCAATGTGATTTTTAGCAATCTCTCACTATCCAGTCATGTATTTATTCAACAAACATTGACTAAGCTCCTAAATACGTGATCATCATAGTGCTTCATGCTGGGGATAGACAGAAAGTAAGGGTACCTGATCCTGTATCCTTTGGGAACTTATTATTGAGCTAATCAGAATATTTACAAAGAATTTAAGATGATTAATAAATTACTACACTAAAAGTTAAAAAAATACTCAGGATACAATAAGGTATAAATAGCTTGAACTTAAGTATGTTAGCAATGTTTGTACTTGGTGATCAGAAGAAATACAAGTCTTTAATGATATAGAAGGAAAAAAACTCCAAAAAAACCGTATAATTGCATGTGACTTAAATATTTTGCCTATTTTTTGAAAATTTTAAGACCAATATGAAACATTTTCAAAGATTTAGCTTTAATGAACTTTGACAAAGAAAGGTCTCTATAATTTTTTAACTTTTTAAAGTGAGAGATATTGTCATATGACACAAAGAAAAGTGTTTTTCTCCAAAGAAATATGATCAGATATCTGTAGTCTGGTATAAAGGCAACTGGGGGCAATAGCCAAGGAATGATTGGCCAATAAAATGGAAGAAAATTAGGTTCCCAAGTGATTGGAACAGAGCTGGCTGCCAGCCTGGATGATTTTCCTAAGAACTGGTATATGGAAGGAATAATTAAAATTAAAACACTGTATTTGAGTTTTCCTGATTTTTTTTTAAACAGCAGTTTAGCCTTCACCCTGATATCTACTATTTCCATGAAGAGCCTATATGTGATCCTAGTTGACTTTTGCGTTAAACTTTTTCAAAGTATACCTAAAAGAGCACTGCTTTGACATATTTATCACACATTAGATCTTCAATAAACTAAAGCCTTCCAGAGAAGTTCAATGGCTAGCACAATAATGTTGAGCTAGTTTTACTTTGACTATTTCTATTTCTTTACTTGGGATTTGAAGAAAGCTTTGTATCAAATAACAAACTAAATATTTTTCTTTACAAAATAATGTATGTTTACTAAGGAAACTTCAGAAATTATAGTTAAATAGAAAAATACTAAAATTACCTTTGATTTTATTCCCAGATACAACCTCTATTAATATTGTGTTATATATCTTTGGGGTAGAACATTAATTGCCTCCCACCATCTATTTTCCCCTATTTCCTAGGAAGAGTACCCTCATTTAGTGGACTAACAGTACACCCAACTTAAAGACCACTTTCTAGTTATGATGCCAACTACTGGACCATGAGGTGAACTTGAGGATGGAAGTTACATCATGACAGTGTAGCAGAAAAACAGAAGATGGCTAGGTCCCTGGTGACTGGAGCCACCATATTAGCCCTTTACTTAAGCTTATTTCTTTAACCTGGGGGAGAAAGTGTGTATATGCAAGACTGGGAATTGAACCTAATGGTGCTCTACCACTGAACTATGCACCCAGTCCATTTTATTTTATTTTATTTTTTGAGACAGGGACTTAATGAGTTTCCCAGGCTGGTCTTGAATTTGTAATCTTCCTAACTTGGCCTCCTAAGTAATTGGGATTACAGGCATGTGTCATCATGCCCTGCATATTTTGACTTTTATATTATGTATGACCAATTTATATATCTTTCATATGTATGTGTGTGTACGCACTATTTCTAAGAAATTAATATATGTATATTTGTCTTGCAAACTGCTTTAAAAAGTATAATATAACAAATAGCATTTAATTTTCTTCTATATCATCTTTTTTTTTTTTTTTTTTTTAAATATGGGATCTTGGTATGTTACTCAGGCTGGTCTGAAATCTATGGGCTCAAATGATTCTCCCATTTCAGCCTCCAGAGTAGCTGGAACTACAAGTGTGTACCACCATGCCCAGCTTCTACATCATCTGTAATGGATGCATAATATGTTATAATATGCAATATGTTGTGATTTAGTTAACCAATCCCATTAGAGTGGGAAATTAGGTTATTTAAATATTTTCTTTATGAACAATATTTCAGTAAACAATTTCCACTAACTATCTGCATATATCTATGATATATTTAAATATAAATACCTAGGTAGGAATTGCTAGAGCATAGGTACACTTTTTAAAACTCAACACATACTGTTGTCTAAAAACGGTGAATAAATTTATTCTGCCACCAGCAATGTATGAGTATGTCTGTTTGCCTGACCCATAGCAGTAACAGATATTATTATTTTAAAAATACATTTACCAAATAGGTCTAACCAACTCACTTTTGCCGGAAGTACCGTAATGAGAAAACACCCACCATGATGATGGCAATGCAAATGCTTGGCGTCATAAACATGTTCCAACTGGCTTTACCTAAAAAGTTAGAAAATCCTATTACGGTTATTTTCAATGAACATTTCAAAATACTGACCTATAAATAGAACTTTACTTTTTGCGTGAATTCTCTGGGCCCTACTCACAGCTCTTGGGCGGTTGGGCTCAGGAACAAGGTCAAGCCATTTTTTTGCATTTGGTTAGGGAAAAAGGAGCTCCAAGTTTTAATCCAGCTCTGCTACTAACAGATGTGTGATCTGCAGACCTCAGTTACTTGATCTGTAAAATGTGATTGATGATGTCTACCTTCCAGGTGGTTATGAAGATTAGAGATGGTGTATTTAAAGCATATGGAAATATATTGAATATCCGAGGCCCTCAAGAAATGGTAGCTACTAATTTTACCAAACCATTGGATAAGCCCTCTATCTATCTGAGAATCTTTGAAATTATGCTTGTTTTTCCTATGAAAAGAATGAGAGCATTTCACTATCTATTGAAATTATTTATTAATTCACCCAACATTTACTGAGTGCTAACCACGTATCAGGCCTTCTTAGTAGGTGCTGAGGTGCAAAGATAAATAGAACATGGGCTCTGCTGTCTTACAAAGTTGTGAATACAGTACAGAAGACAGCTGTGTAAACATGTAAGCCATCAACTTATAATGTCATGGGATATGTGCATTCACAGTATTCATGGGCAGTGTAGCAGAGAACAACATAGGAAACTGCCTCACTGTGGGAGCTGAGGAGGGTTTTGAAATGGCATGATGTCAAAAGTTTAGAATTTAGAAGATGAATAGGAATCAGCTAAGTGGACAAGTTAAAGCCAGACCAGACCAGGAAACAGGCGAAGTCTTGGAAGGAGGAAGAGTGCAGCACTTTCAAGCAGGTGCAGGTAGTCTGGTCTTACTTTATCATAGGAATGATGAGATGTACGGCAAAGGATAGAGCTAGATGGCTAACAGGACCAGGTAGGACCTGGTGACCAAGAAATTGAATTCTAGCTTGATGGCTCCTGGAGAACTACTGATGAATTTCAACCAGAGATGGAATGTCAGCAAGGGATAGGAGAAAGAAGGAGCCACAGGAGCAGAGGCAGAGTTCCCTTAGGCCATGTGCTAACAAGGCTGAATTCGGGAGTTAAGGAGGCAGCCTTTCTCCACCCAATACAATCTGCATGATCTGCCATTTCTTCATCATCTGCCTTCCTTTCTGGGCTGATGGGACAAGTTAGGAGAAACCACCAATAGAGAGATGATGGGTCTTTAGTCCACATTAATTATTCACACCTCATCATTCATAGGAGAACTAGGAAGATGAGAAGAAGGCTTGATAGTTTTTCAAAGGAGAATTTCCTGACAGAACAACAAAGTCCTGAAATGATCAACTTGATGCTGTATGTCATAAAGCAAGAACAGCTTGTTGTATGCTTAGAGCAGAAGCAAATGAGCACTGCCAGAGAGAACAGTATGACTTAGCAGGTGGAGAGAAGCCCATATTAGCTGGGTCACTTACTCATACACTCAAATTTAACCTGAAGGAACTAAGATCTGAGTTTCGTTCGTAGTTCTGCCACTTACCATCTCTGTTGTTGGATAATCTTTCCACATCTTAGTTCTCTCACTAGTACAATTCCCTCACATTTTAAAATATATTTCATATTAAGTGTTTGGAAATATGGGCCATGTATAGCCATGTAAGTTTGGTAAGAATAAATTAGCTAAAGTATGTATTATAGTTTGAATTGTTTACCCTTAAACTTCATAGTTGAAGTCCTACCTGAAAACGTGATCTTATTTGAAAATAGAGCCACTGCAGATATTACTAGTTAAGGTAAGTACTGGAAGGATGAGCCCTTAATCCAATGACTGGTGTCCTTATAAAAAGGAGGAAAATTGGAGAATACAAGATGAAAAAGATGAAATACATTACAAGATGAAAGAATACATGATGAAAATTGGGAGAATACAAGATGAAAGCAGAGATCTACAGGCCAATGAACATCAATGATGGTCTGTAAACTCCAGAAGCTCTGAAAGGCCAAGCACAGATCTCCTCCCACAGCCCCCAGATGGAACACACCCTGCTGACCCCTTGATCTTGGACTTTTTGCCTCTAGAACTGTGAGACAATACATTTTTGTTGGTTGAAGCACTCAGTTTATGGTACTTTGTTACAGTAACAGCACTTTTCAGAATGATTATTACATAATAACTACCTCATATGCAATAAGTGCTACTATTATTGCTCATGTGACTTTCTTCCTTTGAACAGATGTTTAGTGAATATGTATTAGGGACCACTCTAGACCTTGAGTTCAGAGATAAACAGATGTCAGTCCCTGCCTACTGGAAGGAGAAGTCTGAGTATGGGTAAAGGGAAGGGAAGATCGAGGTGCTTTTGAGAATGCTTCCTGGAGGAGGAAACATGTCTGCTGAGTTTTGGAAAATGAATTGACACTGTATTTAAGCAGACAGTGGAGGGGGAGGGCACTCCTGTTTGGAGGCAACAGCAAGTGAAAAGGTATGGCAGCAAGAAAGGAATTACAGAATTAAGGAAATTTTGATGTTTTCGATGTGGCATGCAGTGGGAGTGTACACTTGAAAGACTACAGGGTGGACTCACCATCTTTAAAGTCATCTCTTACCTTGTGGAGAAAATTCCCTTTCATTTCCCTGGGGACTTTCACCAGCTGCCGTCAGAGCTGTCATCCACAGGATGTATGTCACTCTGGGCTGCAGGCTGTTTATTAGATATGAATTTTGAGAGAGGCTATAAGGAATTTCTGAAAGGCAAAGAAAGAAGAAAAGCATGTATTAAAGGAAATTGTTCAGTGTGGGCTTTCACTCATTTTTATTGTTTAATGCTTCATTTAATTTAAAAGGGAAAAATACATTGTCATTTTAAAATTGTCCTAATTCATCAGGGCTTAATATTTTAGTAGGGCCTATAACTGTCATTTATGAAGGTCTCACTCCACAGTGTACCAAACAAACTAAATATTACCTTTTTTTTGTGGTAAAATCTTACACATTTTTTTTTGCCATTTTTTGTCTTTGAAATAATTTAGCTGTAGTATTTTTAGTGTTTCTAGCATTTATCAGGTACATTTGAGAATTCTAAAGGAGAAAAGTAAGTATACAAGTTGTTTTCTAGAAAAGGAAATTTTTAAAGCAGCTACATTTAGCAATTAATGAAACAGGTGTTGTGGAAGACTAACCTTGCGCGTGACTGAGTCACACTCCTCGGCTGGTTGCTGAGGTGTTCAGTCACAGAAATGTGGCAGAGCTTTCCCCACTCTTCTTGGGTTCGAGGGTCTGGGTCTAGTGCATGGTGTGTCTTGCTACAGCCCCATGGGTGAAGCTATGCTCACCTGTTCCTTTGTAATATAACCAACTCCTTGCCCTGTTTAGGATAGAATCTTCCATGGAAGTACCTTGTGTGTGTGTCCCCTTCTCTTGTGCCCTTGGGTGTGGCCTACCCAGGTGTCAGTCAACCTGCTGACAGTGGACATCATGAAGATAGATTCAGCTCCCTGAAACTGACCCCTTGCCTCATTTGAATAGCTTCTCCTCAATAAAAGGGGTCAGCGTGTGCTCTTGCTCTCTCTCTTCCTCTTCCTGTGGACCCTTAAGGTCAGAGGAGCCGTCACTGTGACCCCAAACAAAAAGGTATTTGTGTCTCTTGTGTGGATATTTTGCGCAGCCCAGTCAGCCCAGTTCAACTGGAGTGACCCCTGAGCCTTTTAGTCGCAAGAACAGAAACCTGGCAGGTGTGGTAGCACATGCCTGTAATCCCAGCAAATTTGGGAGACTGAGGCAGGAGTATCACAAGTTTGAGATCAGCAATTTAGCAAGACCTTCTCGCAAATAAAAAGTTAAAAAAATAAAAGACTGAGCATGTAGCTCAGTGGTGAAGCACCCCTGTATTCAATCCCCAGTACTCACAAAAGATAGAATAGACATTTACTTAACATTTTAAAATTGTGATTTCGTACATTTTTGTAGGCTCTGGATCCTGAGCTTACAGGGCTTAACATGACGGTCTGCTTCAGTCAGTCATGAAATCAATCATTAACAACTAGAGCAATGGTACTGAGGTTAGATTTGGTAGCTATACACCCAGATTTCTAATTCCTTATGCTCTCAACACCCCTGCAGTTTCTCTGCAGGGAAGATTTTGTTTTCTGAGCAATGCACCCATGCTGTTTTTCTCCCCCAAGAAACATGAGTGTTGGTAGCTTTTAGAAAGCAGGCAATCATCTCCAGTATTCTGCAGGGTGAGGGTTTTGGGGTGAACTCTCAAAAGCTGGGGAGGTGTGTAACCTTAAGGCCAGCGCTGGAGCAGAAGGAGAGGCTGGCACATTCAGATGCCGGTGCCTGCGGGGGTGGAAGTGAAAACTAGGACTGTCACAAACTGGCTCACAAACTCCTGGGCAAATCCGAAGACACTCTGCATGCTGCAATGATTTCAACACTCGTGGGTATTTGTTGACTGGCTGGCAAGGCACTGACCATACAGAGCACAGAACCAACCTCAAAGAGTTCACCATCTAAAGGAAAAAACTGATGCCTTCCACAGTCCTGTTTTTCATGGGTAGCTAGCAAGATGGAGCCCTGTGTGTCCTTTCCATTCAACCCAAAGTGCCGAGGCCTGAGCAGATCATTTCACAGCTGTGACTCTCAGAGTGACTTTTATATTTTACCATCCTGTTGGGAAAAGTATCTTGTGGAAAATTCCCAAGTCTACTAGTAGCTTGGTGAAATTGCTTGCATAGAATTAAGCTGTATTATGATTGAACTCTAACTCACTCTCTCTCTCTCTCTCTCTCTCTCTCTCTCTCTCTC